GCTGCTTGTCATTTGTTTCCTTAAACAGAGGAACAGCACAGTCAGATGTGACTTTTGGGAGGATCAACTTGTGTTCAGTTGGAGGGAGTTAGGAAGGGAGAGAGGCCAGAGAAGGTCCCCATGGGACGTGGCCCCGCAGGATGCCAATGTCCCCAGGCTCCGCACACGCTGTTCTCCCAGCCCTGCCCCTCTAGTCACGCAACCTCCACACCTGCCAAGCCAGATCTCCCCAGTGTTCTCCCTCCTTCACGGCCTTTCTTTAGGCCATCGCCTCAGACAGGCCTCCCTCGGCCCCACCTCGGTTTCCCGCCCCCACCTCATCCTCTCTCTTTTCCTCATAGACACGCTAGAAATCTGGGACTCTCCACACACCCACGTCCTTGGTCGCTGTCGGCACGCTGTTGGCACGTGCGCTCCCCAGGGCGGTGGTCTTGTCTGTCTCGTTCACAGCTGTGTCACTACAGCCTTGAAGGGTGCCTGGCACACAGTAGGTGCTCAACAAAGTTTTGCTGAATGAACAAATTAACAGACGAGCAAATGAATGAGAAGATACTGTGATTATAGTCCAGGCAAGAATAGATGAGGGCTGAAGCCAGGGGGAATGACCGTGGGAATGGAGGGGGGAAAATGCAGTTTTCAGCAAACTCCTAAATGCAGGAACACAGCAAAGAGAAAGGAATGCAGGATAACTCCAGGTTTGTAACTTGAGAAACTGCCGTTTATAGAGGCAGAGACATGAAGAGACTCCAGGACTTTCGTTTTTGTCGTGGGAGGAAAAGAAAGGGTTTATTTTGAGCTGGTTGCATTTCATGTGTGGCGTTCAGGTGGCTACGTCAGATGTAGTCAGAGCTCCTGGCACATTCTAAGTCCCCCTGCACTGTCACATTTAGCTGCTGGGGGAATCGGCACCTACTTGCCTCAGACTACGGAATGGAGGTTCTTTAGGAGAAGAACCTACTGAATGGAGGTTCTTTAGGAGAAGGGACAGATCTTTTAATTTCTGTATTTACAGCCCAGCAGACCATGTGACATGCAGTGGGCCCCAAATGAATGAATGAACGAACGAATGAAATACACAATCACAAGCAGGCAGAGAGAAAGGTAGGCAGACACAGGTAGCTATGGGCCTCAGAAGAAACCTCGGGGTCAAGATATCAGCCATCAGCCCCCAACTGCTAACCTCGGAGTGAATCATAGGCCACACAGACTAAGAAAGGAGGTCTGATAAGGACACCCCAAAATGGAAAGGGAGGACACTGAGGAGGAGAATCAGGGAGGTAGCCTGGAAACATCCGCACACACAGCCACCAAGAGCAACGTGCAAGAGTGGTCAGGGATTCTTTTGTGGTGCTGGCGTAACAGTGAGGTCCAGACTGATAAAGATGGTTCACAACAAAGGAAGAAGAAGGGGAGCAGGGGAAGCTGCTGCTACAGACCAATCTTACTTATGAATACTGGTGCATAAACTATAAATAAATTAGTATTAATCAGAATTCCAACAGCACATTTTTAAAAAGAACAGTTCATGACCAAGTAGGTAATATAACAAGAATGCAAGGATGGTTATAAGATGAAAAGAAATTAATTAAATATCCAACTCAAGAATCTGGAAAAATAAAGGAAGCTGAAAATAAAAGGAAATTATAAAGATAATAGCAAAACATATCGAGTTACTAAACAGAAAAATTCACACATAAATCAAAATTATTGCTTGAAAAAAATTCAAGAAAATAGACAAAGCACTAGTTAATGTAGAGAACAAAAAGGGAGGACTCACACGCACACAAAGAAATAACAATGGTAAAATAACCACTGACAGAGAAGAAATTTAAAAATTCATAGGAGACTATTTATACATCTCTTTGCTAATGAATTTAAAAATTCAGATGAAATGGATAATTTCCTATGAAAATGTAATTTAGCAAAATTGATCCCTGTAAAGATAGGAAGTTTAAATGAACCATTGTCCCAAAGGAAAACACACAGTTACTGAAGATCTCCAGTTCTCTCTCCTCGCCACACATACACATAACATCACAGGCCCACATAAGTTCCCAAGGGAATTCCAATAAACCATCAAAGACCACAATGTGAAATGCCACTTAAACATTTCCAGGGCATAGAGAAAGAAGAATAACTTCTAAATATCTGCATGAAGCACGAATAAAACTGACACCTAAACATCTTAGCTATTGTATGTACAGAAAGTACAGAAACTCTTATGGCACCATTGTTTGTCAAAGCAACAGAACTGTAAACCAGCCAACATCCAGTAAGAGCAGAGCAGATAACTAAATGGTGATATATTCATCATCTGTGAAAATGAACTAGCTCTCCACATTATCAACATAGATCTCAAAAACATTAATCAAAAGGATATACTGTACAAGGATCCAAATGATATGATTCCATTGATAAAAAGCTTGAAAATGGACAAAATGTATTGTTTAGGGATCGACTGGGAAGGAGGAAGAAGAGCACCTGGCTTGCGGTCCTTTCCCTCCTTTTGCAGGAAAGAAGTTTCTGGGGAAAGGAGGAAGGCAGGTGACAGATGAGCTGTCTAAGCGACTGTAAGTATGCTAATGACTAGACCACCTAATAAAGAGACTAAGGATATTTTCTGAGACACCTTATTTCTGGAATGCCCTTAGCAGGATGTTCCTGGCTCCAAATTACTTAAATAAACCCAGAATTTATGGATTTATGAGCCATGAGTGCCTGGGCCAAGAAGTAGAGCTGTTTCGTAACTGAACACTCCTCGCTGGGCAAGGCAACCCCTGAGCCTCATTCAGAGACCTTGTTTATTGTTCTGGGGCAGAAAGCACATGTCTAAAGCATGAAGAAAGTCAGAAGAGATGTCACATGTCACAAGACATGTTCTAGACATGTCCCTCTGCTTCATCTAAGCTTCTATAGCCGGTACTCTTGAAATTATTAGTACAAGCAGATACTAGGCAAGATCTCTGATTGGTCAGTTCTGATTGGATAATCTGATCCTTTGTGTTAGAGCTCACAGAGTAAGCGATTTTCAGATAAAAATTATTTTAAAAAGAGAATACTGGGGGTAAGAGTGGTGGGATGACATCAAATGGGCTGCCTAGGTCACTTCCAAGCAGTAATGTTGTAGTTCTGAAAGCTAGTACATGCTGTTTCATTCTTCTTTAGATGGCACAAATATGCCTCATTTGTGAATGGTATATACTTGATGCTAAAATATTAAACAAATGTAATTTGATAAGATGGTAAATAAAGAACAACTTTTGAAAAAAAAAAGTTTGCTATGAAGGGAAAGAGGGGGCGGGGGGAGGTACTTGCCAGGCAAGTAGGCTGGAGAGAAAGTGTGTCCTCCAACAGGCACATCAGTGGTTTCTAGCTTCCTGGAGTAGGTATCGAGGCTGCTCTTCAGTACTCTCCCCCAGTTGGTTCACTACTGGGAAATCCATCTGCACGATGCCGCCTTACAGATATACACTGACCCCTTAGAATCCAAAGCTGTGGTCATCTAAGCCCCTGGTTGAACAGAGGCTCAAAGATGCAAGTTCTGATCAGGATAGAGAAGGGTTTGGGGGAAGGGAGATAATCTGAGCTGGCAAGAGTCCATCTGCTGCCTTCGTGCAAGCCAGCTGTCCTTAGCTTTCTTCTTTCTCCATCTTCAGTATTCGTATTGGATTCTCACTTTATCCTATCCTTTAGGAGCCATGGGAACATAGTCCTACACCACCCATTGGCCCTCCTGCAGCCACAAGTCATTAACAAATGAAAAACCAAGAAAATGATGTGCTTGGCTAGAGGAGACAATGCCATGACATGCAGCCCAGAGCAGAGCCAGCGTCACGAGTGAATGACCTGTACAGCTGCAGGAGCTCAGGAGAGATGCACAATGTGCACATCTGCCATTTCTTGTCGCTCATGAGCACAGAATTCAAGTAGAACCATGACAGGCGGGAGTTCAGAGAGGCGAAGTGAGTACAAGGTGCATTACACTCATGACTGAGAAAGCAGAGCACTGACAGCCCTGGGAGGGGTTCACACTCTCCCTCGATCCAGAGCTGAATGCAAAGAGATGGCAACCCACGGGACCCCATCATGTTCTTTCTTACTCCTGTGACTTCTCCATGTTAGCCAACCACTTATCCTGAAATGATGGCATCAACCAAAAGAAAAGATGGGGCAGCCTCTAGGTTTTCTTCCAGTCCTTCCTTACTCATCAGTAAGCTGAAGGTAGAGTGTTGGTAGAATGTACACATATTAAAGAAATGAAATAAAAACAGTGGAGTTGCTTTTGTGCACTGTTTCCACCGTTCTGGTAGATATGCATGTAGGAGCTACAGAATATGAATTAGGTATTTTTGCTGATTCTCCACACAAGTTAAAGGTTCTTATATTTGCATTTTAAACTAACATTGCATAATATAAAGATGAACAGTAAAATTCATGCTAATAATTTTAAATTTTTTCTTTCCTTATGAGATTGCATAGCAAATGGAAAACACCATAATGAGGTGAGAGAGACCACAGAACAAAGTAAAAAGGTGTTTTAGTGTCTTTAACAGCACTTTTTCCTGTTCTTTCCAAAAATGGCCCCACGTTCCATTTCACTCTGGTTCCCACAAATTATGTATCTGACCCTGCTGAAGTTCCACCCCCATCAGGTATAAAAAATGTGATCACTATCTCTGTATGTATTTCTCTCTCCCCCTCTCCCTTTGAGCAGAGGTGATGCTGACAGATGCATGTTCTTTAAAAGCGCTACCAGATTCCCCCTACATCAAGGGTTGTGACACTGCAGTATGCATCAGAGTTGCCTGCACCGCTTGTTCCAACACAGGCTGCTGGCCCTCGTAGTTTCTGATTCAGCAGGTCCGGCTGGAGCCTGAGAACTTGCATTTCTGAAAGCTGCTGATGCTCCCATACCATACTCAGAACCCCTGGTCTAGTTATCTCAGCCTTGGACATTTGCCAGCGCTGTACGATACCTCACAAAAGGCATGTTCTGTTACCTCGTAAATGTTCAGTTGCTCCACCAAGTCCAGGTCAGTCCCTTTCTTGCTCAAGTGCCTCTGGGACACGGCAGCGATGCCCAGCTCCTCCAGGCAGTCCACGACATCGTAGAAGGTGTCTTGGTCTGGCAATCCCGATAATGTCTGGAAGAAAAGAAAAACTGGATACAGACACGTCTTAGGGACTGTCTCAAGGCATTTTGTAGCTGGTAGCCGTCATTATAACAATATGGGACAAAGCAAGATAGGTGACAAATTCATTTGAGAAAAAAAACCTCTTTGGTGTGGTCGGGAGAATGAATCCCAAGATCGGCCCCTCTGTTGTGCACACGCTGTGTAACCCCCTTCCGAGTGTGGGCCGGCACTCCCGTCATCATCACCTCACGTTGTGTCACAAAGGTGAAGGGATTTTGCAAATGTAATTAAGGTCCCAGATCAGTTGACTTTTTACTTAATCAAAGGGGTGATTGTCCAGCGTGATAAGCAGATGAAGCTTTCCAAAGAGGGCTTAGCTCTTCTTTGCTGAGCTCAGAGACTGGAAAGAGACTAGTGGCCTCGAAGCAGCAGCAAGCCACCATGAGTTCTTCAGGGACAAGGAAATGAATTCTGCCAATGACCACATGAGCTAAGAAGACAACCCCAAGCCTCAGACGGGCCACAGCCCTGCATGACACCTTGACTGCAGCCTTGTGACACCCTGAGCAGAGGACCCAGTTAAGCTGTGTGTGGACTGTCACCCCACGGAAATTGTGAGATGACAAATGTCTGTTGTTTTAAGCTGCTCTATTTGTGGTAACCCATTACAAGGCATTAGAAAACTAATATAGTTCATGATTAGACACTTCTGTTAAAATCCACAAACCGACAGCTGAGGTTATAACAGTGTAATGATTCCCTTCTACTTAAATTCATTAGGGCCTCTCCTTAGTCTATGAAATTTAGGAAAGCACAAGAAATTTCAAAGTAGCAACCAAGAGATAAAAAGATACTGGAATAAAGAAAGAGCCCACTTCTGTTTGAATTCTGCCTCTCTTAAAAGGAGGAGGGTTTCTCAGACCAGCCTCCTGCTCAGAACCTGAAGGAACCTTGCAGAGATTCACTGCAGGCCCTTATCTTACGAAGGAGGGAGGGGAGGGACCTGCCCCAGGCCACAGGAGGTTACTGGAAACTCTGGGATAAAACCCTGGGCTTGGAGCTGCCATTCCACTCTCCTACACACATTATTCTGGCCTGCAATTTCAGACACTGGCCCCTAATTCCCTACTTATTTTACTACCTTTGTATCTCTAAGAACACTTGCAAACATCTGAAAATATTTTAAACATAGCAACTTGCCTCAGAAGAAATAAGACCAACGCTTTCATAAAGATCATTTTTGCAGCACCAGTTACCCTAACACTTCTATTTTGGCACTATTAATATTGGAAAGAATATCTCTATTCCTAACCCCAATAATGGCTTTTTTCTTTTTATGTTGAGCAAAAAGGACACAACGCACTACTACTGAGATCAGAAACTAATGAACAACAATCGGGACGTGATGGCTTAATTACTCAAGAGTCCCATTAAGGACACAGAACAGGAGGCTGGGAATCAGAAGCTGTCACCAATAGGTGCTCACACACTTAGGCAGCCACGTGTGACAGGTGCCAGGGCACGCGGTCAAGGCCACACTACCAGACGGTCGACTGGGCTGCTTCTGCTTGCAACGTGACTGAAAAACTGTGCACACATTCGATGGCTCTAATCATCAGAATAATTTCATACTTTGGTTTTAGGGAAAACTGGAGAACTTGTTAAAAGACAAGGAGAGGAAAACAGCAAAAAAACAGGCCTAGGCAGGGCAAACAATCGGAGATGCCCTAACTTCCTGCAGACTCCACAAAGCAGTTTGAGAAAAACAGGCAACTGACATGTAGCGTCAGAATTGAAACTTCTACACAGCAGCAGGGGCCAGCATGTGACACAGAGAGGCCTCTGGTCATCTCCTCACCTCTGTTACCCTCCCTTCTTCCCCTTTCTCCCTGCTGGGAGTCAACTGACGTTCTTTCACCTAGAAGTTTCCAGGGGTTAAATTGCTAAACCTAATCCCTGTTGCCTTAGCAAACTTAACCATAAGGATGGAGGGAATCAGTATTAAACAATTAAAGCTATAGAACTAAACAGACTCGGGGAGCTTTTATTGAATGACAGGCCCAGAGCTGAGGGTACGAAGAGGCCATTTGTCATTCCCACCTGTGAAAATTTGGGCTTGAGCCAAGCGGCATGCCCCCACCTTTCATGCAGACTGCAGGGGGGATGGTGGCGCCTCCCGACACAAACATGGCTTCTTTTTCCACCTGTGCAGGAGGGTGCTACACATCCCAGAAACGCACATGCATCTGTTTTTGGCTGATCTTCTAATATGCTTAGCAAACTTCACCACGCTCCCACCTACCCCTGGGCCTCTCCTCCCAGTGCCTCCCCATGGCCCCTGCTGTAAGCTGCCTACTATTGGCAAAGGCGGCAGCCACGCCAGAAAAGTGTGCAAGGCAAGTGTTTCTTGACGCCTTTACCCTCAGATGCTGCCAAGGCCAAGCCCGGCTGCTGACACCTGGCGTCCTCCATGCCCGTTTTCTCCTGGACTTTGTCTTACCTGTGACAAGTAAATCTTTACAGGCACGTCTCAGAGGTGAATCTCTCTGTCCTAAAGGACAACCCTGCCCCCCACCCTGGCCCTCAGGTTTTCAATGATTCCATCAAATCCTTCTTGTACGATAAAACTATTATGGCAAAGCCTGTTCACAGCAGTGTTATCTGTGGAAGCCAAGAGCTAGAAATACCCAAATCTCCTTCAACAGGCAAGTAGATAAATTATGACACATCTACACAAATGGATGCTACACAGTAGAAAGGAGCAAACTGCTAATATATGCAACAATGCAGATGAATCTCTAAGGCATTCTACTGAGAAAAGCCAACCTCAGATGGTTACATACCGTAGGATTCCATCTGACATTTTTTTATTTTATTTTATTTTTTATTTATTTTTTTTTTTTGAGACAGAGTCTCGCTTTGTTGTCCAGGCTAGAGTGAGTGCCGTGGCGTCAGCCTAGCTCACAGCAACCTCACACTCCTGGGCTTGAGCGATCCTTCTGCCTCAGCCTCCCGAGTAGCTGGGACTACAGGCATGCGCCACCATGCCCGGCTAATTTTTTATATACATATCAGTTGGCCAATTAATTTCTTTCTATTTATAGTAAGAGACGGGGTCTCGCTCTTGCTCAGGCTGGTTTTGAACTCCTGACCTTGAGCAATCCGCCCGCCTCGGCCTCCCAGAGAGCTAGGATTACAGGCGTGAGCCACCGCGCCCGGCCTATTTTTTTATTTTTTATTTATTTTTTTAAACAATAGTAATTTTATTTTTTCACAGTTCTTGAGTCTGCAAGTGTAAGATCAAGGGTCCAACAGTATCACGTTCCACTGTGATCTCTCTACTTGGCTTGCAGATTCTTGACAAGACAAAATTACAATGATAGAATAAATCAGTAATTGCTAAGGGTTATACATAAGAAGTTAGGATGCCACTATAGAAGGATCACATGGTGGAGATTTTGGGGGAGATGGAACTACTTTACATCCTACTTATGGAGGTGATCCCTCTCTACAGATGTGTTAAAACTCATACAGCTATATACCAAAAGAAAAAAGTCCATATATTATATGATAATTGCTACTGTTTGAATGTGCCCCCCAAAGTTCATGTGTTGAAAACTTAATCCACAATGCAACAGTGATGAAAGGTGGGACTTTTAAGAGGGCTCTGTCCTCATGAAGAGATCAATGTCATTATTGCACGAGAGGGCTAGTTAGAGTGGGAGTGAGTTCCTAATAAATGGATGAGTTTCTCTCTTGCTTTCTGCCAAGGTACGACACAGCAAGAAGTCCCTTACCAGACGCCAGCACCTTGATACTGGACTTCCCAGCCTCCAGAACTGTGAGAAATGAATTTATGAATTACAAAGTTTGTGGTATTCTGTTATAGCTGCATGAAATGGACTAAGATACTAAATAAAAAATAAAAGGCAAATACTTTGCCTGAATCCCATCCACATTAATTATCTCTCAGCTCTGGTAAAGCAGCTCCTCTCCCCAGGGTTCCCTGGGGTCCAGCCATCCCTTAATTGCACTAAGCCAACCGCACAGTAACTGCTCTTGAGCCCTGAGAAGAAGGGGGTTCTCACTGAGGGGATATCAGTGACAGGGTATTATATAGCCTGCAGGGTGAGAAATGGTTAATTTCTGCACTCCCTCAGATCTTCTGAAGACATGGGGTGAAGATGGGGATGGGGGGGATGGGTAATGACCCGAATCTCAGAAGCCACTCTGTTAATATCCCTGTTTTGCAAATAGAGCTGACTTTACTCTCAGAAGTATAGGCAGGCTAGGATTTAGTACCCCCATGTTTGGTCTGTTATGGAAATGTCAATTTTTTGAATTCCTTGTTATTAGGAATTTATTTTATTGAAATCAATAGCTAGAAACCACCCAACTTGCAATATACTTTAGCAGATTTCAGAGTGAGAATTTTTGTCCAGACCCATATCAATGTTTCAATTTGTTATTTTGTTTGGCATCTCCGAGGATTTTACTCACTAGGGCAGTTGACACTACAATTCAACAAAACAAAACAAACCCAGTATGAGTGCCAGCACTCTGTTGACCATTTTAAGGAAAGGATTACATTTGGAGGAATGTCCTCGAGGACCTTCCTGGATGTCTCCTGGGCCAGAACTAACAAAGGATAAGACAGAACTGCCAAAGAGCAGAGAAAGGGAGGAATTCCTGAACATTAAATGCCAGCCAATGCCAAGCAGAGGGTGATGCACTCTGGGTCTTTGCCAGTGACTGGGAACAGAGTGCCCGTGGCCTGCGGGTGCTGCTACGATCATAAGAGCAGGCACAGCTTCCACCAGTAAAATGGATAACACTACAATGGATGACACCGTACAAGAGTTACAATTTTCTACTGAATTCAGTGTTTTCTAAAACAATGTGACTAAAGAGGACAGAGAATAGATGAATTTAATTTTTAAAAACCAGTGTATAAAATTGCTTCCAATCAAATGGTAAAACGAGCACCAAAACAAATTTAAAATTAAAAAAATTCTTAGCATTGCCCATTTCCCATCAGGGCTGTAGGAGAGTTTCTTGTGCACTCATCAACAAATGATACTTCACTAAAAAACAATCATTGCCAGTGTGACCTGGGGAAAATGCCTTGGTTTACTATACATTTCTTCTATTCGCAGTTGGTTTTAATGTTTTCATTTTTCTAATGGGTTCATAATATATTTACAATAGTATTTTCTACCCTATTTTTTTTTTTTGCAAACAATGTCCCAGTTTGTAATTTTTGTTTAGTTATAATTTGGGATTTTCATTTTATAAATAAGATCTTTTACAATTGTACACAGTGAAATATATAAATACTTTGCTTTTGCAATTTTTTCACTGGTTTTATTATTAAAATAACCTTAACCAACTAGGGGCCAATTAGTCTTCATCTCTATGTTTTTCCCCGCAGTTCTGTATATGTTAAACTCTTTAATGTATCACAGATTAATCATGGTATATGGTCAAAATATGCTTTTGTTTATTTCCAGTTAGCAACAGCTCCCCAATTATGGATGAAGCTAACCCATCCCCATTGACGTCGACTGTACAACAAGCTGTTCTGCACGTTGAGGTCAGTTTCACAGCTTCTCTGTGCCAATCATCTGTCTGCTGAGCAAAGAGCCAGACCACATCGTTTGAATCCTTAGAGTCTGCACATGTTACTATCTAGTAGTAAGTTGCACATGTTACTATCTAGTAGTAAGTTGCACCTTATAAAGATACTGCTTTCTACAAATGTATCCCCTGTTCATTAGGGGAAACATTTCTCCAGTTGCATTTTATTAAGAAAGGACTCTGGATCTTTCTGAAGCCCTAACCATCACCACAGATGGTCCTGTGGGCTCATGCCCAACAGCCTGGGGAGGACATGGAAGGTGCATGGGGTGGCTGACGTGTGGCTGTGTTCTAAAGGCGTGGCAATCCGAATGGAGAAACTCCAGTCCTGGACTGGGCCTGTCGCAGATCAGCATAGGACCCATTGTATCAGAGCGGCACCTTTGGGACGGGCACTGAGGACTACCTGGTGAGGTGGTGACCAAGGAGGGAGGTGATGGGACGAACGGGAGCACTAAAGTGTGATCAGCATCACATAAGGAGGATGGGGCCCGGCCCCAGGGCTCCTTCTCTCAGCCCAGCAGTCAGAACTCGATCTGAAGTAGGACGAAAACACCTCATTTCTTCCTGACTTGTGGACTATTTCCTTAGCATGAAACTTGGTCGTTTATAGTCTTAAAGAAAAAAGTTTTTAAGGGGACAAGTGGATAGAAAAAGTAGTCATAAAATTCTGTCATCTTTCTGGTTTTACTAGAAAAGATCAAAGCAGGAACACGCACAGACACACGCAGGTTCTCACACGTATGCACCCCTGCATGCACACCTACCCCACGCGTGACATAAAGGATTTTCCCCTGTGAACAAATGCTGTGGCTGTCGTTCCAGCCACCATCATGGAGGCCTGTGGTATAGCTCTCATTCAGAGGGAAATTTTTAGATTTTCACATTGCATTTCTTATGGCTGCTGTAACAAAGTACCACAAACTAGGTGACTTACAATTATTTTCTCAGTTAGAGAGGCTGTTATCAGTCTGATATTTAAGTATGCACAGGGCCATGGGCCATACACTCTTGGAAGACTCTATAGGAAGATCCCTCTCGGTCTCATCCTAGGCTGGCTGCCAACAATCCTTGCCATTCCTTGGCTTGTGGACACATTATGCTAATGTCCACCTATCTTCACGTGGCTTTCCTTGCGTGCTTGTCTTCACACTGTCTTCCTTCTGCATCTCTTTGCTTCTTCTTATGAGGACACCAGTCATACTGGATTCAAGTCCACCCTAATGACCTCATCCTAACTGGATTACATCTGGGTTACACCTATTTCCAAATAAGGTCACAGTCACAGATGCCAGGGGTTAGGCCTCAACGTATCTTTCGGGGCGACAACATCCAGTGCCTAACACACATCCACCCACCTTGTTCACTAAAGTCATCGCATAAACCAGCAGCTCCGTGTCAACTCCATCCTTTTCCTCCAGGATTTCCATGACATTTGACCAGGGCGTGACACCTATGAGTAAAGCAAAAGTCATTAGAAACAGCAATCCCAAACCATGCCTTATCCAACTCACATCATTGTTTATCCAAGGCCTTATCACGGGACAATGGCAGCGTCTTTCAGTCACCAAGCTTCACAGCATGATGTTATCCTTAGGGTGGACTTGAACATGCTTCTAATTAAGAATATTTCATAGTAGGAAATGCTGTACCACATCATCCTCGCCCTTTTAACAAGAGTACTGTACACTCTTCAACATTAGAATGTCTATCCACTTACTGGAAAAATTCCCTTTATATTAAATACGTAATTTTAAAAACATCCATTCATGTGCAACTTCTTAGGCCAAACATTTTTGACCCAGAGTGGAAAAACCCTCGAAAAAGTATGCTCTGAACATCCATCAGCACACAAGGAAAGGGTAAGATACTAACATCACTCTAGTAGTGACTCCACGAGAAAATAGTGACATGCCTGCTTTGCAAACATCTCAAGAATAGAAGTTCATCACCTGTATTCCGTCAGGGCACAAATGCTGTTTAAGCATCAGCTAGGTACATGGTCTAGTAGACAGGTACCCTTAACAGGTTTATAATCTCATGGAGCAATTAGGCATAAGCCCAAGAACAGACAACAGAAGAGAGCAAATGGCTGAGAAGTGCCAAAAGCATGTAGGTAGGCCTGTCACTCAGCGAGTGAGGTCTCTTGTAGGGGGGTGACCGCAGAGGGCTTAGTGCAAGAGGCGGCTAATGCGTAGAGTCTTTAGTGAAGGCTCAGGGGTGGTTATCCTCCAGCAGCAGGGAGGAAAATACTTCATGTTCACGTTCAGGACCACTAAAGCCAAGGGCAAGACCACAAAATGGGACACAATACCCCGACATGGTTTCCTATGCCTGAGATGAGTATCTGCAGCGAAGTAAGCATTGCCTTACTCTTGGCTTGGTGGTTTGGAACATAAAGCTCTTTCCTGCTTTCACTATAAAGATCTCAAGGAAAGTTGCTTATTTTTGCTCGGTGAATTTGGAAATAACCTAAATATAGTAGTTTCTCAACGCTGGTCCTTGGATGGGTTATAGCAAAGCTGATCCTGGTCTCGAGAACAAAAGTCCCCCAAAGGCAGCAACAGTCTGTCTTGTTTCCCTGCTCTCAACGCAGTGCCTGGCATGTAGCACGTGCTCTGCCGAATGGAGATCTCTGAGGAGGCACGAAGTGGGTTAAGCTGGAGCAGTTTTAAAAGAACCAAGGAGCAGATGCATCCAGTAAGGAAAGGAGAGAAGACAGGAGGATTAGCCACAGAATAGGCACCTACTACAAGACACGACAGACACAGACGTAGCTCGATGTAGAGATCTGTTGGCTGTCTCAACAAGTGAATGGAAAGCCTTTTCCTTTGGCTAAGTTGCCCAGCAAGTCAGAACTGGGTGATCTTCTACAACCCTTTCTAACTCTGAGCACAAAGCCATTCTCTTCTGCCTATTGACTGTTGAATTATCTCCCTGCTCATGTTTATCAAACTACTTTGAAGTCCATACCACAGTGTAACTGTTCTTCCATTATCAGCAAAGTAACCAGTTCAGCCCTCAAAACAGTAGATCAAAGCGGTCAGTGGGACTTGGGTATCACTGTGCAGGTGCAGGTTAAGAAGACTAGGTGTCTCTGCTGATGTTTATAACAGGGGCAGCTTCCGTCATCCATACTTGGCACTAAACCTCGGCACAAAACATGTGTTCTAGTGACTTACCCCAGGTGTGGTTAAAGAGAAAGATGGTGCAGGGGAGGAAGCATTGAAGCTAAGAATTTCCAGTGGTGCCAGCGGGCCCAGAACTGCTTCCTGGTTGTGCTCACTTTGGAGCCAAAGATGCCAAACAGGGCCCGGGGAACACAGGCCAAGCGGCAAACGCAGGCAGCCGGGAGAGAGGGAAGTAGCCAGACGACATTCTCTCTCCCTCTCGCACAGACGCACATGTGTGCACCATCTAATCCCTGATAAGAAGAACACTCACTGGCTTAATTTAATTGAAAAATGTATTCTTCAGCTGAGATATCAGAGTCCCTCATTACCATTTAAGGATTTTAAGTCTGGAAATGTGCATAAACTACTGGGATGAATGTTCACTCTCCTTTGATTGTTTTGGGCCAGAAAATGGGAAATATGTAGAAGAATAAAGGTGACAAGGAAGGAACATTTGGTTCAACACAAATAGCCTTGGCAGGCCTCAAGCTAGGCCTGTATTAGCACGAGCACTTGCAACTTTCCGGTCTGAATTCAGCGGTCCAGCCCTCTCCCCCACATCATCACCGCCAGCTAGACAGAGAGAGAGAGAGACAGAGAGAGAGAGACACAGAGAGAGAGAGAGAGACAGAGAGAGAGAGAGAGAGAGAGACAGACAGAGAGAGAGAGAGAGACAGAGAGAGAGAGAGAGAGACAGAGAGAGAGAGAGAGAGAGAGAGAGAGAGAGAGACAGAGAGAGAGAGAGACAGAGAGAGAGAGAGAGAGAAATCATAAGCCACAGGATCCTAGCCCTTCACATAAGAGAAAGAAACTGGGCCCCAAAGCAATGGAATGAAGGGAGGCTCCGGCGACCCATCTGTAAACGGGGTGACAGTGCCGACCTTACAGGACTACCGTGAGATGTCGCTGAGATCAAACACTTTGTCTTTTTTCCCTGGCATCGTGGGAATGCATCCAAGGATGACACTTTACCTGCTCATCATCATCTGCCTCTGCAATTCCACCAACTCCCCGACCCCAAACACTGGAGTACAGGCTGAGAGAGCCTGTTTTTCCCTGATGTTTGCAAGCACATAGTTGACACCCAAATACTTACCAAATAAATGATTTATATATGAACAATGCTTAGTGTCGTGTCTGCTATATGATACGCACTCAAATATCTATAGCTGTAATAATAATGGTGGCAGTAGGTGGAGGCATCCCCACTTACCCACCGGTGGGCCTTCTGCACAGACCTGTCTTTCCAGCAAATCACAACGCCTCTCTCTCAAGCCAGATAAACACACACACAATAAACTGCTCAATACTTCCCCCCCCAGGTGTCTGTGTTAACCCTAAAGGAAAATAAGCTATTTTAGCATAGTGCCTCATACAAGACTTGGTCTAACAGTCAAACAGAAGCTCCTCGCAGCATGCTCCATGTCTTTCCATGTGATGGATAAACATTCAACAGGGATATTTCTGCTATAAATAACAGTTGCAATAGAGCTTGGGTTCTGTCAACTTCCAACCTCCAACTCGCTTTCTGCGATCTTCACAGATAGATAGTCTTGAGCAGAAGTCAAAGATGGGATTGCTTGAAAGTAAGGCTGAATTTTTTTCCCTGTTAATCACATGTAATGCACATGCTTAAGAATTATGTCACATCTCATCACCTTACATTCAAATGAAAAATGGAACTTCTTCAAAAGCCTCGCTGAACCAAATTAGTGGGACTCAAGATTTATGATAAATTTCAACATGAGTTACCCACTCTAGTCCCTTGCCCCACCCTCTGTAGGACAGACAGACCTTGACAATCAGAGAGGTCCTCCCACCCAACAGCACCACGGGCTGTCAAATACTTCCCTGTTGAGCACCACAGGGAAGATGTCAAGAAAGGGAGTCTCTGATATGACAAAATGACAATGCAGGGCTCTCTCAAGGGCTCCCATGGGCGCTACTGCCTTTCTGTCTTCCCTGTCACCCAGAAAAGAAAATGACTTGAAGATGTAAGCAAAAAAGAAAAAGACCCAGCAGCCTGAGCAGACAAGTGGAGTACCATGCCCTGCCTCAGAGACTAACTCTAACTTTTTCATTCCAGCCCCAAAGCAAAAGTGCAATTGCCTGGGTCAAATGGGGCATTTTAAATTTTCATTCATAAATATTAATTACTCCCCACGCTCAACTTTGACCCCCTCGGTTTTTATCCCTGCTCTCTAACTGGTCCACTCTTGGCCACAGTGCAAACTGCCCACACGCAGAATGAACCCTTCTGGTCAACCCATGTGCAGCACTGCATGATGTTTATAAAGCAACCAGAGGAATCTGTTCTGGGACAGCTTTAGGTATAGTAGTGATTTTTTGAGGACTGGGAGTTTATTTGTTGGTTTTATTGCTGATTCCTTAAATCTGACAGTTTTTGTTATCCAAAAAAATCTCTATTAAAACAGACAACTGTCTTATAATTTCACATGCCCATTCCCTCCCACTGAGGAATGAGTATAAAGCCACTCTGGGAGTAAAATTTATGTTTTATCAACTTGAGCACAAATGGACATGCTCGCTTCATCCTAAGTCACCTCTGGCACTCTCTCTCATCCAGTTGAGAGGTGACTGGAGAGCAGCCTCTAAACCCATTAGGTAGAAACGCACCTGCCAGTCACGCTGCTCTCTGCAGAATACCATGACATTTATATGTTTCATTCCATCACAGGATCCAGGAACAATTTTACTAGCAGTAAAATAGGATGATGCTATATGTATGAATTATAAGATCACAGCCAAGGCCACACATGTCCATGAAGAAACATACTATTAAATCGCAGGTGATACGCCATTTCTGAGTTTTTCCATTAGTGCTATTCCTCCCCCCCACCCACCCACCCAGCTGCTAGTGCTCAGTAGCAGACAGATAACAGCAGTGGCCAAAGGTTTAAGAAATTTTACAGACAAAAACCATAAAGCTGAGAAAACAATTCATTAGCTGGTTCTTTAAATTTTATTTTTAGTAACTGGGAAAAGATGACCAGCATTCTGTCTTGGTGGAGAGATCCAGCACAGCAGAGAGTCTCTGGCTGGGGCTGTGGAGGGAGCCTTGGATGTGGGGTACTCTGCCATCCCCCCCAAAAATGCCTCTTATGAAACGTGAAGTCCAAGGAAGGAAACTGAGCTTCCAGCTCAACAAATCCAAGAGTGAGCCCAGGTCATGAGCAGGTTGCCCCTCTAACCCGGCCCCCAGGGCAAGGGTCCTTGGGTTACCTGAAATTTAAGACAGGAAGACAAAGCGTCCATTAGTTGTCCTAAAGTAACCCCCCCGAGTTGTGGGATGAAGTAGGAATCCTCCCAAATGAATGAAAGGAGCTGTCTTACTATCTTCCACAACACACATCATTGGCTTTAAACCTAATTAGCTGGCCTTGAAAATAGCTAAATCTGGTTTCTGAGCCCTTGGCAGTCCTTTTAGTGAGGATTTGCAGTTGGCCCCATGATCCGCTCTTGGCCATAAGTGTCTTCAATATCTGCACCAGACGGCGGCAGCTGCGGCAGACAGAAACCTGCCCGTGTCCGGGTCCACCTTCCAGACAGACTCGCAGCCTGACCCTGCCCCGGGTTCGTCTCCCTCACACGCCCCCACAGAAAGGCCTGGAGTTGTCTCTTGGCCTGCGACAGACCATGCCTGGAGCTGGCATCTGCCTGTGGTTCAGGGGACAGGTATGGGAGCCCCAGTGTATGGTCCTGGATCCTTTCACTAACTTATATTTAAACTTTCAAAGCAACTGGTAAGCTACTTTTTTTCATATTTGGATTCAGCACTGGGAAGTGGGGCTCTTAGTAATCCTAAGTCACAGACAAATGGTTTGAATCTAAGTGCTATGTAGGCCCCTTGTCTCCTTCTGAGAATGATAGCTGACTTGTGCATAAGTGTACGTGTACACACACCCCTGTAAGGAAATATACCAACATGTTCAGTTATTATCTTTGTTGAGACTAGAGGTGATTTTTTTATTGTCTTCTTTGCAATGGTTTTTCCAAATTTTCCATAGTAGTGCTACACTATTATAATCATAAAAAGAAAAAGTATTATCAAGATTTTGTTTGAGTCATTGTGGGGATAATGATAATAATTGAGTCCTATTGGAGAGGAATATAAACAAAAGACAAAAAAAAAAACAAAAACAAACAATGCTAGTATTTTAGCTTCAGGCTTCTTAATATCACAGGGGCTGCAGCATGTCACCCTAACCCAGACCCAAAGCCCATTCTTCCCCATGTGTTTCTGGCATGCCCACCTGCTCTGGGCTGGCTGGGTGCTGAGACACCAGGCTGAGACATGGAGACCCGGCCTCGAGCAGGGTGCAGCCGCGTGGAGAGAGAGATCAGGATGGGGTGGCGCAGACCAGGTGGGAGATGGGGGTGGCAGGTGAACAGGGGCTGGATGGTGAAGGGTCTTATAAGAGGAAGGGTTTGGACTTCACCCTTTAGGCAATGGGAAACCATTGGCAGGTTTTAATATGGAATGATGGGACTAAATTTGTGTGCTAAAAGAATCTTCCAATAGCACTTTGGAGTGGCAAGGGACACAGGTGAGGGACAGTGAGAGTCCCAAGTAAGGATAGGGATGGGATACAGGGAAGGGGGGAAAGAAGGTCCAAGGCACATGTAGGAGTCAGAAGCAATGAGGCCTTATAGAAGTGAGGGGAGGAAGGAGGCAGGGAAAGCAGGGGAGGAAGCCGATTCCCTCTGTGGTTTCGTGGCGGGGCCTGGACATAGGATAAAGACACACTCAGTGTCTGTCCCCTCCTGGGCAAGCCCATGAGTGGTTGCCCCTCATTGTCAAACCATGCTCTAGCCCTAATCATTGTGTATTTACCATCCTAAAAAGTACGTTTCCTACAGTGGGAAGCCCATACATAGGGAATTCTATTAATTCTTAATTTAACAAGTAAAATGTGAAAACCTCCCTATATTAGACATTTTCACTTTGATGGCATAAGGGGGCGGGGACTACTCACCTCTTTTTGTGTCAACGGCAGAGACAGCCTGAATGAGAAGAGGGGCGTTGGACTCCGAGTACTCCACAAAGACGAGCAGCAGCTTCAGGGCCGTCTTCACCACCAGGCGGAACTGGGCATAAGAGAAGAAACCATCACGTGACTGCAGACAGGGCCCTGTGCCCGAGGGCACCGTCCTCCTAACCATAGCTGGCACCCAGCGCTTGCCTCGGCCTAGGAGCTCTTCTCAGCGATTACACAGATTCCTTCATTAGAGCCTAATTCCTCATGAAATGCCTCAGAAGGCAAATATTAGTATTGCCCTCACTGTGCAGATTGGGAAACTGAGGCAGGAAGTGTAGCCCCACGATCACAAAGCTAAAAAATGGAATAGGACCAGACTTTGGGGCTCCAGAGCCCACACCTGGCAGTCTCTCAACACACGAGGTTTTTGCTGAGTCAGTCACTTCATTTAATGCCAACGCCAGGATCATGAGGTAAGCACGCGTGATTCTTATCTTTCTGCTGAGGCGGCAGGTACCGCAGGTTAAATGACTTGTCCGAGGTCACAACAGCTGGTGTGGGCAGGCAGGAACCTGAAACACATTCCCCATCCTTAAAACCAAGCAGAGAAGGCTGCCTGGTGCCTCAGAACACACTCCCTGGGCCCGAGGCTGGGCATTTGTGAGGAGCCTCACACAGCCCTTCCCTCCTGCAAATAGAACCCTCCCTTGCCACCTGCCCTCGGGAAGGCCACAGGTTATCCACCAGGGTGAACCCCAGACCTCCCAACAGAGTGGCCACAAGTTCCTGACTCTAGCTCACCCCACCCAGGGGCTGAAGCACTTTGAGGGTCCCCAGGTCAGCTCCCACTTTCCCCTCAAACTGTGCCCCCCAATCTCCCTTCCCTTGGCCCTGCCTCCTTGTAAGAACCTCATCCTCAACAAGCTCACAGCAACTGCCTCCTGGACACAGGCTCAAGCTGTGCCTCTAAGAATCAACAAGTCTGCCTCAGCTGTGAGTTCTGCCCCAGGCTATTTGCTCATCAGTGCTCCGAGCCCCTGTGGGCAGTGAGCTTTTTTGAGGGAAAGGGGCTCATTTGCTTTGTGTCTGCAGGGCCTGGAGCTGCACTGGGCAGTGTCTGCTCACTGAGTGTGTCAGCCAGTGGCCAGGTCTGATAGTCCAAGAGCCCTCACCGACCCACCGACCCCCCTACCCCCGCTATCCCTGCCCTCAGCCACCCCAAGCCTCCATCATGGCACGGGTTGTAGACAACCAGCTCTCACTTCATTTGCTCTGCAGCCGGAGGAAAACCCACTGTCTCCTGAACACAACTGCTCATATCAAAGCATTAGGGACACAGGTAGATTTTACAGGAAACTTGGGGGGAGCCCAAGTAGGAGACTGTATCGTATGGTTCACATGGACAACTTTAAAACACCACCCACCCCATGTCATTTCTCTAAAATCATCCAGCACATTGTCTTCCCTTCCCCCTGCTGTCGTCCTAACCTGGCAAAACACCTGTCTTTTCCTCCACTCTGCGCCTCTCCCCAGCAGTCCCCAGTGCTCAGCTACCCTTTACAGGAATTTCTCCAAAGAACTGTCACAGCCCGGCTCCACTTCCTGACCCCCCACTGACCTCTGACCCCCCAACCTGATAGGACGTTCACACCACCAGGTTGCCCTTGTCAGGGTCGCCCGTGGCCTCTCTGCTGTCTAATCCAACGGCTACTTCTTGGTGCCCATTTTAGCTCAACTGTCAGCAGCACATGACACACTCTTCCTCCAGAAACGACTCCCCCTCTGTCTGGGCAACCACTGCACTCTCCAACCTGACCAGCCGCTGCTCCTTCAGCTCCTTCTGGGGTGCTCGGGTTCAAGGCGGGGAAAGGCCTCAGAGTTCACTCCTACACTCTCCTCTCCCTGTCCACGCACTCTCTCTAGGTGAGATCATCCCATCCCTTGGTCTTAAAGTCCATCTAAGACCGGATGCTGAACGTTGCTCTCAGGCCTCACCAAACACATGACATCTGCACTCAGATGCTAACAGGCACCTCAGATTTATTGCAGCCAAAACAGAAATCTTGATCTTCATGCATGCTCACGCCATTGCGCCCACCACAGCCCCCACCCTCAGTGCAAGGCCTGGCCACCCTCACCTCCCACTAGCACTGAGTGGTGGTCGCCTGCACCTCTCACCCCACCCCCACAGGGAATCCATCTGCCAGTGCTGTCAGAGCTCCCTTCAAGATCTGTCCCAAACCTGCCCACCTCTCTGTCCACCTTGGACCACCATGACAGCCTTCTAAGGGCTCCAGGTCTTATACCCCTGAAGTCCATTCTCCAAACTGCAGCCACAGTGACCACTGCACCCTCCTGCTCCCAGACTCCCAAATCACAGCCACCACACAGGTGCCGCCACCCTGAGGCCTTGTGCTCTGGCCTCTGCCGAGCCCCCGACTCCCTCTCTTCGGTCTCTGCCCACCACCACCATCACCACCACCACCCCCCGCCCCGCCATATTTTCTTCAAACACCAGCTCCTTAGTTGTGTGAGAGTGTTTTTCACATACTGAAGCTTGGTTACCATTCAGGGCCTTCTCATGAGCTACATCCTCTGCCTGGAACCCACCCCAAACTCGCCACCACAGGCCTGGCCTTTTCTCATCCTCCAGGTCTGGAAAGCCTCCTCTTGGCAAACGCCTTCCTGACTACTTTATGCACAGGAGCCCCTTGGTCACGATCATCTCACTGTTTTATTTTTTTCACAACCTTTATTGTGACCTGAAATTGCTACAGACACTTGTTCACCTGCTATCATTCCTCTGCTGACCCTAAGAACACAGCCGTCCTGGTAGCACAGATGCCATTGGTCTGACCCACGCAGAGCTGCTCAGTCAGTACTGCACGTCACAGGCAGGCAGGCCAGCGCTGCGGCTCAGCCTTCAGATCACGCCCCTGCCTTGTGTGGCGAGAGCTGCCTCAGGCCCGAGCCTCCCCCTCCCGCCCCGTCACAGCCCGCAGCCAGGCCAGGGCCCTCCACCATCAAACCGAGGGCAAGCAGCACCCTGGGCTTCCATTCTCACGGTCACCTCCTTTCCACACAGGGAGCTGAGCCCTTCCGAGGGCTTTGAACTCTTCCGAGGGTTTCCACCCTCATAACTTGAGTCCCACAACCATTCCTCTGCTTCCCGACTAGAAACAGACTAAGTTCCAGAATATTTTTCTCAACAATTACAAGGCCGGGGGTAGAAGGGGAAGGTATGGCACAATGAATTGTGCTTTGTGTGTTTAGAGCTGAAGATATTTCTTCAAGTAAATAAAAAGACCCAGCAAGTTCAGGCTTGGTGACTTCCTCAGTGGGTGGACTATTATTATGTGGTTTAAGCCTCTAAATGCCTTCCTGGGAAAGAACCTGGCTGCCGCCCAACCCCACTCCCCATTAGCCGGTCTCAGCCGGGGGCACCCCCATGCCCACCTCCTAGAGGTTTCTCCAGAGCCTCTCTGTGGCCACCAGGCCTTGACCGACATGGTCCCAGGCACCCAGAATCCCTAAGCTGCTCTCCCATCTGAGTCTGTCTAATTAAGAGACCACTGTTTTCTAGCAAAGTCTTCTTTTTCTATTGGTTTCAACGTGCCTATTCATGTTTTTCTCTCCTCTGCTGTAAAGGTTCTCTTTGGAGCTCATTTGGCACTGTAATTTGATTTTTGTTAAAAAAAAAAAAATCCTCAAACTCTTCTGATTCATGATTTTAGGATTCTATGAATTTGGCTTCTACTGAGTCTAGGTTTATGTGTGTGTACTCTTGGAAGCTTCACTATGTAAATTAATAACAGATAGTTAAACTACTTAAGAAAAAAGTACATTAGAACATTAATTTTGTGAAAATACATGGTACTAATTGCAAGCGTGTCCTAACTAATAATCATCAAAAATATGTCCGGCAGGATCCTGCTCAGAAGTACCTTATTAGTGTTATTGCACAGACTTGAAAGTAATGAAGGTGCATTCCTTCAAAAGAATTCGACAGCAAACCCTCACTTATCCAGAAGTCACGTACTCTGATGCCCTCAGCTATCTGGAATGCAGTCAAAATGCACCAAAGCTTGGAACAGCCACAGCAGAGACCACACACCCATTCTCCCAAGTCCAAACACGCTGCTCATCCTAAAGCTCTTAAAAATCTACCCTCATGCCCCTTGTGCTTATCTTACATCCATTTTAATCGGAGTGGATATCAAGATTCCCAGCCCACACCAGCTGAGAAGAGGCAAACCAGAAAGGACAGCTAGGTAGGAAGGGAGGCAGGCCCGTGGTGCCACAAGGGCAAGCATGACAGATGAGGGTGGGACGCAGCTGCACAGCTGCTAGCACACACACCCCTGTGTGGCCCAGAGACGTCAGCAAAGCATCACGCCAATGTGAACTGTCTGATTTTTAGCTCTGCCTGGCAGTCCTTCATGTTGAAACGAAGGATTTCACCACAATGACTTACAGGCTGGCGCACCTGCCCATCTGTCTAGCACCAAGAGAAAATCAGTAAGAATTGATCCTCATTCTTCCAGAGCATCTAGTGTCATGGGAAGACATGGCAGTCAGGACGCAGTTAAATAGGTGCACAGGGCAGCAAGGCGTCAGCGCCAGCATCAGTGGTTCCAAGACAAACGGGGTGACGGGAGGGTCAGGGTCCCCATCTCTGGAGGTTCTGCTAGTACCAACTGAGGCTTCTGAAGAAGGAATTCAGGACCTCGAGGGGGTGGGCTGGCTGAGCCCATTTAAGTTCCCTCCCTAGCCAAGATTCTCTGCTTCTGCACTTAACGTCTTCAGCACCTTCCAGGTACCCAGCACCCAGCGAGGTTCTGTGAAAGAATAACGAAGCCACAGCCACACCTGCAAGGAGTGAGCACCTGGGCCACCACCATGCTACATGGGTAGAGAGCGTTACCCACGCTAGAGGCCCTCAGACCCAGGGAGCTGAGGACAAATGCAAACAGAGGGCAGTCCCAGAGGACAGCTCCTGCAGTGTGGATGACTGTCAGGAAGGCTCAGGGCTGGATCCAGGCAGCCCTTCTGAGCCTGTGGAGCAGAAGAAATGTGCGATGGCTTTTGGATTCCTGTCTACACAAATAACCTTACTTCTTTCTGGCTGGAGGAAACATACCAGGCTCTAACTTCAGCCTTTGGGCTTTATGTTACCTACATTTTCTTTAATTACAGTCTAGAGAATGCTAGTATTCCATTTAAATTCTGTTTTAATAAAGATCATGCTTTATGTTGTTCTAAAACAATGCAGCTAAATCACAACAGAAATCTGACATCATCCTTTTGTACTGGGGAGCACAAAGGGCAGGGGCGTACAGCCGGCTGTGAATTGTTGCCCATATATCATAATGACTGAGCACATTTTGGGGGGGATTGGGCTGAATTTT